CTTGGATAGTTTATCCATCAATTTGATCACTGTAAAGCGAAAGGTAGTTTTATCTATAAACAGTTAAATTTTAAAGAAATCCAAAATTTGTCCACATGTAAAAATCAAGTTGCTATGGTGATGCCAAAATACCATGTCCAACAGCACTTATGCTATTTTTTTCATAGTTAAATGTTTGCAGGGACCTATTATAGTCAGACAAGTCGGTTTCATCTTGAAGAGAACAAGAACTTGTCTTCAGCAATACTGGTGCTCAGTGGAACACCGCGCACTTGATATGCAATTTTGTCAGTCTCGCAGATAAGAAAGTAGACACATGCCAATGATGTCTTGAACAAGCTTAGAAAGAGAATAAAGCTAATTGTAACAAACTCGTATTCAACAGCTGTCGAAGAGGCAGCTTTTTTAGGAATGACGTGAAGACCTAACTCGTAAATCGAAACCGCTCAATAACATTGGATACAAAGATGAACAACTCCACGACAGAACAACCACCACTCTTTATAAACGGATCTCGGATAGAGTGTGTCAAGTCGTTCAAGTTTCTTGGAGTTCATGTGTCAGACGACTTGACTTGGGGCGAGCACTGTGAACGTATTGTCAAGAAGGCAAATCGCCGACTCTATGCCCTCCGAACGCTAAAGCGTTGCAAAGTGCCAGCTCCTGATATTGTAAGAGTTTATTGCGCGCTCCTTCCTCCTATCTTAGAGTACGCATCAGTTGTCTTTGATAACTTGCCGCAATATCTTTCTCACGCTATCGAGAAAGTGCAAATGCGCGCGCTCGCAACAGTTTTCCCTAACATACCTTACAACGACGCCCTTTATGTGGCGCAGTTAGAGCCACTTTATGTAAGACGATCGAAAGCATGTCGTCAATTTATTCAGCAATTGTCAAAGGAAAACTCAGTACACAGGCAAGTTAAATGTAGGATAGAAGAAACTTCCGCACGTCACTCACATCAAATCGGCTAACACCAACCGATTTAAGGATTTCGTGACKAACAGGCATGCCCGGGACATATCATTTAGGAACTGAGAATTGGACTGATGAACATTGAATTATTTATTCCTCATATATGTATGTATGTAGACTTGTCAAGTGTGTAATTTATCGTTTCTGACCCGTATCTGTAATTCAGTCTATACTGCAAGARATACGATTAAACATATCTATCTATCTATCTATCTATCAATGGTGGATGCTCCCTTATTTGTGTCGATGGTTGTCATCAATGCTTTCAGTGCTGTCTTGGCGATTGTTTTGAACCTCTTGATCATTGTGACTTTTGTCAAAACACCATCTTTACGAACAACTTCGAACATTCTTATTCTAAGTCTCGCCTTCACTGACTTTGGTTTTGGTGTTTTGGTGCAGCCTGCTTACTGTGCACTCTTGCAGTTATGACTAACGACACAGTTGTACATCGATTAAGTGTTTTTGAAGTATTAGATCCACCTTCCGAGATATTGCTTTGGGCATCAATTTTGACAATAACTGCCATTACTGTCGACCGATTCCTTGCTGTTCACTTACATCTAAGATACCAAGAACTTGTCACAACGAACCGAATATCAGTGGTGGTGATAATGGTTTGGTTATTCAGTGTGCCGTGGTCATTGATATTTTTTTTCTTTTCAAAAGTGACTGTCGTAATTAAGCATATTGAACATTTTTTATTTCTGTTATTCTTGTTATTTAACATTGCTCTGATGCTGAAACTATCTTGCGTTATTCGTCAACATGCAGCGCAGATTCAAGTTCAACAGCAAGCAATGAACGCACAGCCTGGTGCAGCAGTGAACATTAAGAGATCTGTGAATATTATGTATTGCGTACTGGGAGTATTTTCCATATGTTATTCCCCGTCAATTTGTATTAGGATTATAGTTGTCTTTATGCCTAAATTAGTCCAAGGTTTGACTGCATTGATAATGGTTGATGTCATTCTCTTTATGAACAGCAGTATCAATCCAATCATGTATTTCTGGAGAATACAAGACATGCGAAATGCTGCTCTTCAATTGTTGCGATCAATTCGAAGAAACAACAACAACTTCAACAACGACAACAACAACAACAATAATAATAACGACAACAACGACGACAACAACAACGACAATAATAACGTTAACAACGACAACGAAGACAACAACAACGACAACAGAAACAATGATAACAATACAACTAGAAATTGCGATAACAATGGTAATGGCAATGGCAATAACAATGATAATAATAATAGATGCAGCGTTTAAACCCGTGAAACAGTGTTATACAGTCAAGATGTAATAGTCAAATAAAAATGGGCAATAAAGTGATTTTCACCGAAATTTAAAATAATTACTTCAGTGTTCTCGTAATACCTGATAGACTTCTACCCTGGTTACAGAGTCTTGTCTTTTATTCTTTTGCTTACCATGTTGTTTAGTGTGAATCTAGGACTCTACTTGTTGTGTTCCTTATCAAATCAAAAACAAAACTTTTTCTGCAGTCAGTGGAAGCTCTTTAATTAATAGTATCTAATTTCTCCAAGTCGTATTCTGAACTCCTGTTCTATTTTTTTCCAAGTCCAAGTAGTTTGAAACAGAAAATTAATTTTGATATTAAATTTTGTTTTTATTACTTTTAGGACGTTCAACGTCATCAAAATATAAATATATTCTAGTCTAGTGTTCAGGGGACTATTGTTGGTAGAGAATACTAATTTTTGGTTTAATTATACATCAGATACAATATACCTTTATAGATTGACATGTATTGCAGCACCAAACGTTACGATAGTGCTTAAAAATTAAACATTCCCAAGAACGCTTGCTAAGGCCCATGATGTCCATGTAACGAAGGAAAATCGATCAAAGTTGTTTAGGGAAACAAATTAGTAATGTGTTGTCACGATATTTACCTTAGCAGGTTAAGGGAGAGTTTTTCTAAAACTTTTCTAAACTCGCTTGGATGAGCGCGAAACAATGGCTTCATCTCGAGGCTGGTGTTTTTGACAAAAGAAAAAACTCCAGTTTGGGCTTGAACCCATTGTTTCGTGTTCATCCAAGCGTGTGTGAGATATTCCCTCAAGGAACTCGTTTTTGGCGATTGAGACGATTTGAGTGATTATATTGGTACTGGTCCAATGGGAACTGCTAGGAAACAGCTGGATTATTGCAGCGAACATTTAGCTTTCAGATTGCATTCGCATTATCCTCAGAGCATTTATAAGATTAAAGTTTGCTTTGCATACAATGATTTTTGAAATAAAAAAAACGAGTATATTTTAAAGGTAAAGAAAGCCAAGAAAGAAAGAAAAAAATGTTTAACACTAAAATACGTTACAAATCCACGCACGATATGGCGTAAACAACATTATCCTCGAGCGCTAACAAAACAAAAAAATAAGCGCGAGCTATAATTAAGGTTGWGTTCTAGAATTACACTATTTTCAATTCAATAGAGAAATATAATTATCAGGCAGTTTTCTGCCGGAGTCTCTGTTAAAAATAGCGTTCTTGTTTCTTGAGATATAACATGCCTCTGCCCATTTATGCTGGTGCCATCTTCCTTCCGTCTCCAAGATCTTAGCATCCTGCCATTTTTATTATTTTATTTTTATTTATTATTTATAAAAAGAAAGAAAGAAAAAAAAAAGCGCTCGAAACGAGATTCGAACCCGCGATCCTCTGTTCGACG